AGAACAAAAAAAAGAAAAACAAAAACAAAAACTGTAAAAAGATATGTTGTCTAAAATTGCAATGCAACCAACTTTTGGCTGAGGGTCACTTCACAATTCCTCGTTATAAATTCGGAAATAAAAAAAAGAAAACATAAAAAATCAAACCAAAAACACATACCCCTTGGAAGTCAACCCCCCTTTCAACCCCCCTTTAAAACCCATGTATAACCCCCTTCGCCCCCCCTTTTAAAACCCATGTATACTCCCTCTACAAGGCACTCTGCCCATGGCACATTCAAATATAACGCCCAGGAGTTCTTATTGGAATATAACGCCCGGGCGTTATATTCGAATGGAATTTTCTATTCGGAAAAAAAAAAAGTGTGTAAAAACAAAAATCTGATTTTTCAAGGGTAAGTTGAATATACTGCCCGCCCGACGCCCGTGCGTTAGTTTTTCAGGTGACCCCCCGTCCCTGACTTGTCAGAGCCTTTCCCAGATGTCTTGCCACGGTACTACCCATCTTCCCCCGAACATAACACATACGTGTTGTAAATGGAATGCAATGCGTAGGTTGCTTTCTATTCGAATAGAACACATATATTTCAATACAAAGTGTATGCATTCTATTCGAACAGTCCTTATTTTCAAAGGATAGCAAAGAGCTGAACACATATATTCAAATAGAACACATATGCATTCTATTCGAACATCCCTTATTTTCAAAAGGATAGCAAAGAGCTGAACGCACATATATTCAAACAGAACGCATATGCGTTCTATTCGAACAGCCCTTCTTTTCAAAGGATAGCAATGAACTGGCGGCGCAAACAAAAGCAGTAGGCATCACACCGGACCAAGCCACGACAAGCTGTGAAAAGTCATCGAAGCATCTTTTCAAAGAAAAATCAACACACGTTAACCAGCGAACCAGCCCTTATTTTTCAAACACGTTGCCCTGCGTTCCTATTGTAATTTTTGATTTTTTTGAAAAACTCGAATACATCGCAAATGTGTGCAATGACTTGCTGTTTTCTGGTCACCTGTAGCCTCTCTCTGTCGAGGCTGTACCATAGGTAGGTTAGATTCGTAATTTTGTTTGGCTGAGGGCTAACCGCCGTAAGGGAAATTCGTGAGGGACATATCTGCAAATTTGGGAAAAATACAGGCCCACTACTAACTGAATTTCCTACAGCACAGCTACCCTACCTACGAATAGCAGGCCCAGGCTACCTATAGAATAGACAGGCCCTAAGGGCCTATGCTAATAGACGGTCCTATAGCCTATAGCTGGGTTGGGAGAGGCCCTAGAGGCCGAAATAGAATCGGTACCGGTCGGTAAGTCAGTCCGGTCTAGGTCGAGTCTAGGCTAGAGTAGCTATAGATAGGTTAGGCACATCGGTTTAGGGCTTTTGGCAGTTGGTACCAAGTACATCGCTGCTGCGCTACGCGTGAGCCGGAAGTGGTGACGGCTCAGCGTTGTGAGAGACAGACATAGCCAGACCTTCGGAGCGCCGGCCATAGCTGGGACCTGCGCTGTACTCTGTCAGCACGCGGGGCTGTCAGAGGTCTGGGCTATTTGAGGTCTGCTGGAGGCGAGAGAAGTCGGTGCCCTGCTGGACCCTCCTCCGGAGCGGGGTCACAGGGTTGTGGCGCTGCATCCATAGCTGCAGCTTCTTCCTCAGAGGTCATCTTGTCAGGATTTGGTGGCGCTGCTGCAGACTTCCGCCCGCAGAGGCCTGGTTCAGGGTGGCGCTGCCCTCTGAAGGCAGTAATTGGGTGGCGCTTGATGTTTCAAGGGCTCAGGGGTGTCACGAGTGGTTACTCTGGGTTCGGGAGTGAACCACTGCTCATTTCTGAGCAGCGCACTGTAGGTCTGAAGTTATTCTGACAATTTGAGACTCTGAGTTTAGTAAACAGTGTGATACTGGGTTTGGACTATCATCGTTTCATTGTTTTCTGGATGTGATCTACTCGGCTTTTCTTTATGACTGGTTGTGAGGATTGAGTGGAGTGAATTGCACTTTCAGCTAGGCTACCAGAGTGGCCCGGGGTCACTTGCCCGGCCGGGCCAAAATAATTAAAAAAAATGAAAATAAATGAAATAATAGAAATATTTTTGAATTTAATTTTGTATTTTAACTTTGGTGAAGAATTTCGATGTGACCCTGAGGCAAAAGTTGTTCAGTTTATTTTTCTGCATAACATAGTTTTTTTTTCAGAATTTTTGGATTTTTTTTTTTTTT